TTTCACTGGACGTGGTTTACCCTCTATGACTCTACCCATCCTGTAGACTACGACAGGCCGGGTTTCTATGTCGAGGGCGTCGAGTATGCTGGATATGACCTTCTCCGAATGAACCGGCGCAGAGACGGAGACAGGCCTCGTTCAGCTTCGGGTACACCATACAGAACCACAGATCTTTCCTTTTTGTCACTTTCCACAACATTAATGATCAACAACAACAACTTACCTAATATCTGGCCTAAGAGCTCAACTGCTCCAGCAGCTAATAGAAGAATATCATTAATTTTTTTCGAGAAGAGATAAGGTGCGTAACAAAAGTATGTGGACACCTCAAATTTTGATTTTGCGAAGTTGCATTTTGATTTTGCGATCTGAGACCATCACTGTTTAGATTCCTCATAAGCGAAAGCTATTTTAGGAATGCTTTTACTATGAATACATTGTGAACTTCAATTATGATTGTTATTGAAAAAAATTTTCTCAATAACAAAGCAGTGGACACCTGAGAAAAGTTCAAGTTTGACTGCCAAACTCTGCAACCCATATCTATCGTCTCTGCTCCCCATTAATCTGTACTCATGCCTCGTCGTGGCAGTACTCTCTCCGAAGACGAACAATCTCAGATTCGAGCTCTCAGTGCTGCTGGACACTCAAATAGAGAAATTGCAAGACAGCTCGGACGTTCGGCGACGTGCGTTGGTGTAAAGTGCCTCCAGAATCTAATGGTACCATTAGCACACATATTTCGATGCGTCCTCGATCTTTGTCCGTAAAAGACATCAGAAAAATAGCGCGGGTCGCCTCAAACTCCCCCTTTCTGTGAGATAGATCCATGCTGCAATTAATCTACCGGTCTCAAAAATGACGATATGGCGCTATGTTCGATCAAATGAGCATATCACACGAGAGACCATGAAGAAAGCTCCTCGCCTGACTACCCAACACCAGCTGGCGAGAGTGAACTTCGCGCGTGCAAACATGGCGACGTCGTGGGACAAGGTGAAGCTTTTTGAGAAATTTGTAAAATCAGAAAGGCAACATCCCATGCGCTTTTCATTCTTAGGTTATCTTTCCACCAATGAAAAACAAGTCCCGCGTCTCGGATGGATTCTAGATGGATAAATACGGTACTACTGGAGACCTTTCCCGTCCGCGATCCATGCCTGTTACGGAGCGAAATTTCGGAGGCGGCTCTTTGATGGTGTGGAGTGGTTTTGGAAGCCAGCGGAAAGTTAGAGCTCGCCTTCCCATAGTGCTGTATGAACAGTCAGGAATATCAAGGAGTGCTCGAAATCCTCAGTCTACTTGCTTTTTCTGAGTGGGCCACGACCCAGGACACATGTGCTGCAGCAGGACAACGCCGCCGTGCATGTTTCAAATTCTACTATAAAATGGCTCCAAGCGCAATGGTATCAAAGTGATGGATTGGCCGGCATGTTCTCCTGACTGCAACCCAATCGAAAACCTGTGGGAAGTTAGGTTGCGAATTTCATGACAGTCAACGGGCGGGGTGGAGCCCGGGGGCTGTAGTGGGGCTGCGATGCCGATTTAAATCGACGCAGAGACGCTACACAATATGCGGACCGTTAAAGCGAGGTAGCTATGGGGTAAACCACAGATATCAGATAAGTGTGACGAATAAATACGGGAGAATGTTCAAGGACTAGTGTATGATGGAACGCGAGGATGGGAGCACCAAGTATTTAGGTTTCCATGAAATAACTTCGCCGTTTGTTATTTGTTAAGTTGTGTCCGCAACATACTTTTGTTATTAAGAAATTTCTTCAAAACAATAAATCATTGCTCAATAGTTCACAATGTGCTCGCAGGTAGTGCATTCCTATATTTTCGCTTATGAGGGGAATATAAGCATGGATGGCCGTCAGATCGCAATAAGTCCAAAGCCAGGTTTCGCAAATCAAAATTTGGAAGGTGTCCAGCATACGTTTTTGTTACGCAACTGTATACCACTGTTGTCAATATATAGAAGTAGCCATTATCTTGAGACCTCCAAAGGCAATGGATATTAGCCAAACCCGCTCAGGGCGAGAGCAGGGACGCGGGGCAGAGGAAATCGGACTTTAATGAGTTCACAGCAATCAGACGAGCTACTGCCGAATGGGTCATCAATGTTTTGCGCTTTCCTGGTACTGATGGCCAGCGCAAGATGACTTGCGGCGGCGGTGCGGCCATGCGGTCATCAGCTGTTCCGATAGGACTGGAGGAAAGTATAGGATGAGTGAGACGGCGTCCGGCGAGGGGAGACGGCGATTTTTGCATGGTAGTACGGTGCGGTTTCATACGCCACAATTTCACGACGTCCAATTCAACCTCTCCCTCCTACTTCAACATAGTCTACCAGCAGTCAGCTACCCTTTCTGACCGCTGGTGGTCGCTAGATCGATATCTATGCTTTCTATTTATTAGGTTGATGCATATGTTTGTAACCCCGTGTCTTCTGTATTTCGTTTGCATGGATGTTGGTATGTGTGCATTATACTCTTTTATCACACTAGCTATCACTCACCCACCTTGCATTTGCAGGCCACAATGTCGCACAATTACCACTGTGACAGAATGTACCTGCGCCACTGCCTGGTTTTGCTTCACGATTCACAAAAGAAGCTTCATTTTCCTCAACTCGATGATCACTGGTGATGAGGAGTGGGTCCTCAGCGATAACCCAGTGAGGAAGCGGCAGTGGGTCGACAAACGAGAACAGCCAGAAGCCACCCCAAGGCCGACCTTCACCACCAAAAAGTTCTCCTGTCCTGTTGGTGGTCCAGAAGAGGCATAGAAGGGATAGACGATTGACGCTTCCACATACGTTACCCAGCTGCGGAATTGAAAGATCACGTCGACCGTACTCGTGGATCGAATGCGGAAATCTACTTCCACCATGACAACGCCCGACCTCACACCGCAAAGGCGACCCAGGCCGAGCTGGAGAAGTAAGGATGGCTGATGGTCGCTCATATCCCCCCCCCCCACCACCCGACAGCCCTGACCTCGCTCTTCTGACTACTGGCTGTTCAGCACCTGCAGCCGCTCTTCTGTCGACTAAAAATGGTTTGGAAGAAAGGATCAATCAGATAGAGTCACTCGAACGACTTCTCCAAGTCCCAGCCCCGACGTCGTTCTGGAAATATGAATCCGACCAAGCGGCCTAGCCACCTGATCGCTCGATTAGTGGGATGGCGATCGCGTGGGCACACTCTCCTAATTTTTCAAGCAGTGTTCGCTTTTGAGATAATTTACAGAAAAGTTGGGGTTAAAACATATGTCATCAACCTAATTACTCGCTGACGCGCAGAGCGCTCTAGTACGCTGTTGCGACGCCATTTGATCCGCTTTGGTAGACGCTGCAGCACAGTATGACACGGCTCTAATGCCTTTTTATAGAGAGTCTTGGCCTCCATTGCTCAATACTTGTTCACATAGAACTTATAAAATTTCAGAGTATGTCCCATGGTCATATATTGGTCTCAGTGTCATCAGTGGTGGAGTTTCGTCAACTGTGGTGAGTCAGTATGTGATTCATAGTATCATTTTATAACTTTTACATTAACTTTGTTAGCGTCCCTTGTGCCAGGCAGAGACGTTGCGGAGAGCCACGGATAATGACACTTTCTCAGTATAATTAGCAGGGAAATTATGAGGAAAAGGACGAAAAGCGAAGTTAAGCGAACACAAACCTCTGAAAAAACCTTTGATCTGCACAGCAGTGGACGAGCCTTTTTGTGCGAGTTTTCCGTTGTCATCGTGCCAACTCTGGTAGACACGGTTGCATGTATGTATTAATATGTTCATGTGGCGATGTTCAAATCAGCTGTAGTTCATCAATGAAGCGACAACAGTACCAGCGTCAAAATGCCTGTATGGTCATCTGTGGGCGACAGTTGGGCGGTGGGGCGTATGGCCGTCGCCATGCTGTCGCTCGTTGGTTAGGCGGCTTATAGAAGATTACAGAAGAGATTGGAAAAGCGCCACGCAGCGCCTGCTTAGAGGCGCAGTATTCTTCGGTGCGAGGCGTATCAACGCCTTATCGATTCATCGTGCCATTTGCCTTCAATTGTGCACGCATCTCTTTTTACCCTCCCTCCCGTCAAACAGATGTATTTTTTCAGGCTTATCAGTTGGCATGAAGCTTCTCTACTCAGGTACCTCCTCACCATTACCATTCCAGTTCTTCGTGTGGTTACTTTGGAGGAACCAGCGCCGATACAATAGAATTGTTCTGGAGCCGACGATTAACAATGAAACCACAATAAAATACACGCTGAGCCTTCGCTTCCAGCTCAACGAAAACATCCGATCAATGAAGGTATTGGCTAAAAACCGAAGAAGATGATTGCAGCTGGAAGATAGTGGAAATGAGAGTCAAGAAGATGAGTATCCACGTAGAGCTGGAATGCCTATTGTTCTGAATATTGTCAGAGGTGCGACGGTAGGCGCGAGCACGTCAAATTTTTGGGGCAAGTACGCTAAATTCATTCCCGTGATTGGAGCTGGTATATAAGGAGACGACTTCCTTCGAATTACATGGCGGGAGCAGAACCCCGTACTGTTGTATAAGCGACGGTCCGGAATCTAATCTAATTGTTATTATTGCAGCACGAGATGTTATATACCCAGGCAATGCAATGCCGAGCAGAAACTGTTAATCAACACGGAAAGTCTGTTTAAGATCCGCCACAGCCCAAAGCCAAGCATCTGGGCTTTTTAACAAATGTTTAGATACCCATAAGCGATCAGCGCAGGGACTGCTTCTCAGGGGAGGCATGAATTGAACCCAACAACGGCTGCATTTCTACCAATAGTAGCGGGTTCAGGTAGAAAAGAACCAGTAGTAGAATGACTAGTGGAAGGGCCCACTTCATGCCTCCTATATTAGCCCTTCGTATTAAGACATTATCTGTTGTATGTTCCCTGTTTAGTTACTCAGAAATGTGATAATCCTCTGCACTTTGATGCACGTCATCTGCTTTGCTATGTTGACTACATCTCGTATCGACTGGATGCGTTCATATTCTGACATCGCTGGCCACTATCTTGATGCCATCTTGAATATAACAAATTGCTATCATGTAAGTTTCGACTGCGCCTACTTTTCAACGCAGTAACAAATTTTCAAAATTTATTTTATAATTTCTGCTTTTGTGAATTTCTTTGACTTTCGCTGTTTCTCAAAGACACGATTAGCGAAAGGCCAATACACCGACACAATAGCTACTTCATATTTTCCCGTCCTGTCTACGAATTTTTTGCAAACTTTAAATTTTCATGGCATTTTTCAACTTTGTTAACTTCGCAGAAACTTTTCAAAGAACGGGCTAATGCCGTTTGGACGCGTTTATTTTGTCTGCAAACTCGTTTTAAAAGTGCCTAAATAATCAAATCCGCTGAAAACTTTATATAGAGGTAGACTAACATTCTGATTACGACTATTGCTTTCATTTTTGGCGCTGGTCGTGGATGGAGAACACTACGATCATCTACACTCTGCTAAAGCTAAACCCAGAAGATAATCGTAGTGTCCTCTATTACCGCCAGCGCCAAGAAGGAGCGTCATATTTGTGATCGGGATGTTGAATTACCCCTATATCCAAGTTTTTGGCGGATTTGGTGATCTTGCCACTTTTGAAATGAGCTCGAAGACGAAATTTCTCTGCAGTCCAACGGCATTAAAAACGGAACGGAGGTATTCATTGGTGCGCCATTGACAAAAGGACCGACACAATGAACTCCGCCTTTAGACAGCGCGTTAATTTTCCCCTGTTTTTTGTTGGAAGATTTTGATCCTTTATCAAAATTTACGACGTTCTCTGCGACTGCCTCTGCGCCGACCTATACCACCATGGAAAAGCCTCCGCCTCATTGTAGAAGCCCGCGCACTTTGTGTAAAAATTCATGTAAGGACAGCGCTAGATTCTCAACTGGTGGCGTTCCGGCTCACGGCGCGCGGACGAGTGACCGCCTTTAACTGCAGAGGCACAGGTAAAACGTCCTTCCTCCATTTCATTCCCTAGTGTACGGGTAAAGCTTATCAATACTGTAATGAAGAGATAATGATTAGTTGGTGATGATTAATTCTTATGGTGATCAAGTTTGAAGTTCAAGAAACAGTGGCAAACCTCAGTGTCGGCCCTGATATCGACTGAATCGTAGCGAATGTTGATTTTTAGATACGCACTTCTTGTACCCTTAGTAGCGTATTGCAGTGCTGATGCGTATAGAAACCTTGCAAGAAGCATTCCATTTGTCGGTGAGTTTTTCCTTCCTCTTAAGCTTAGTTTACGGCACCTTTGATGTTGGGTGCTCTACCTTTGCAGCATTGGAAGGCTGACGATAATTCCATAACTATGGTCTACCGGCCCTGTTTGGCGAAGCGGGTGGGGCGGGGGGCATTTTGGCACTTTTCAACGTTTCCAATCGGACGACGTCGACCTGTCTCTATTATAGACAGCCTCTTCTCGAGTTGACAGGCTTTACCAGGATGGCTCAACGAGCTGCTCCAGCTTCACAAGTGTTCATAGGTTTCACCAGTGTGAGACGTGGAAACGTAGCAACTAGTGAATGCAAGAAAGTGGCAAAAATGCCCCCCCCCTTCCCCGTCTGCAAACGGCGCCTGGTTACCCATTGTAATGGTTCCAATGATTTCAGGTCGATTGTTCCGTGAATCAAAGGTGGCATCTGTGCGTAAGCTTTCCGAGGAAGGCAATGTTTACTTCAACAACCTAAATAGGCAATGGGGATAGTCGACTACAGCGAAGGAGCAATCGATTATTGATTGTTTGGTGTCAAATTATCCTTACATTCTATAAACCACATAACTCTGGTGTCGTTGTCGGCCCTCTGTCCCTCCTCATCGAATCCGAGCCCTCTGTCCCTCCTCATCGAATCGAGCCGTCGAGCGGGGGGGGGGTATATAGTACGCATGAAACAGGAAAATCACAAAAGTCAACCACCGCTCCTACAACGCCAAAACGTACAACCCCCCCCCCTTTACAACGTCCGTGAAGCGAGAAAAATCAACTATCAAAATAAATTTTTCCCAGCCCAAATACGACCCCCCTCTCCTGGCGACCAAATACGACCCCCCTTATTGGGTATTCCCTAACAACGATGTGCTCTGCCTACGGATCAATGCGCGTGAGTTGAATTTGAAAGATTAAAGGTGAAAGTGTTCACATCGTTTACAGAGGAGAAATCGTTAAGGTTTCTGACACTCCTTCACTGAAGAAGAACCGAAACTCTACATTGTTCCTTCCAAGAAACTAGCTCTCTCTAAGATTCGTTCTCTGCACTGTCTCTTGTTGAATGCTAGAAGCCTTGTAAAAAAATCCATCATTTACACTGCCTGATTGAATCCACCAAACCTGCAATCATTTTTCACTGAGACCTGGTTGAATAACAATATTTCTGACGCTGAACTCTGTTCTCCCATATACGATTATGCGGCAAGATAGATCTGGCAGAGTGGGTGGTGGAGTATGTGTTTTTATACACAACTCTCTGCTGTTTGATAAAGTGGCCTTCGATTATGGATCACTGTGCTCAGATGTTTTATGTTTTGATGTCTATTTACCCTGCTCCCTTGAGCACAGATTGATCTTGATTTATCGTCCTCCTCCGTTCAACCACGTCACAAGATGAAGAAGTTGATTTAAATCATACAAGATCTCGTATCAACGACAACTTTCAACTCAACTGTTCTTGGTGACCTGAATCTAAACATAAATTGGGAATCTCATGTAGCTTTGCACCGGAGGCGCAAGAATTTCTGACTACTTTTGATAACTTATCTCTTAATGAATTTGAGACTTTCCCTACTAGAGAAAATAGCATTCTTAATATCGTACTATCGGATCTGCACAATATTTCCCATGTTTCCCCTCATGTCCCGTTGTCAAGCTCGGAGCACAAGTTTATTTCGTTTCATTTGTCAGCTCCAAGAAGGAGTAATTAAAGGAAGAAGGTATTTTTCTAAAGAGATTTTAAAAAGGCTGACAAAAGCAAAATTGTTTATGCTATTTGTAGTATCGACTGGTGGAGTACCTTTAGTTCCTATGTTGACATTGATGCCGTTTCCCGGTTTATTGTCATCCTTCATAGCATCATCAATCGTCATGTACCCTTCGGACAGCTTGAAAGTTATTCCTCCAGTAGGTATTCAAAACATGTTCTGAACCTTTTTGAACAACGTGACAGGCTCTTTCATTCACTTGCAGAGCCAAC